GGGTGTTTTAACTTTAATGGTACGGGTAAATTAGGTGATCACTTCATTTAGACGCTGATAAAGCAGAGTCACAGTTTCTTGGTGATTTAATATGGCCAAAGAAAAATACTTATTAACGGAAAAGTATTTTATCCTGTAAACTTGTTAGTCAGTGATACTAAACCGGAAAGATTCCAAATTTCTAAAAAGGCCAAAAACTTGATTAAAAGGATTTAAAATGAATCACGCTTTGACATCATGCTGCTTGTTAAAAAAAGGAGTTGACTTTTTATTTCTAATTTCACTTTCTTCGCACAATTTTATGATTTTATTCATTAATCAGGATACTCATGTTACTTACATTTACAAGATATTTATAAATGTGTAAATTCTTGACCTGGATGAGTTGCAGAAAATATCAAGCTTTTAAATATTTCATTGAGTATATACTCATTTTGAAAAATAAAATGAAATGAGATTGCATTTTTGTAGTTATAGTAAGCTCTGAAATATTTTAGATGGTCAGAAATTGCTTACAAATAGTTTTTAGTGATGAAAAACGAGAAAAATCAATTATTATTGATTTATTTTCCTTCAGCTTAGTCCCTTTATTCATCAGGGGTCACCACAGCGGAATGAACCACCAACTTATCCAGCATATGTTTTACACAGTGGAAATCTACACCAACACAGGGAGAACATGCAATCTTTACACATAAATGCCAACTGACCCAGACTAGAAAAATCATCCAAATAATCATTTTAATAAAATGTATAATTACTCAAAATGTTTTTTAATGGAGTTACTGGATTTATTTGTAAATAAATAATAATCTAATTTACTAAATATCACTTGTAGTTGCTCTAAACAAACAATTTGAAAATGAGTGAATTTACCATTACAGTAGTGGAACCAGATATATATATAGATATATATAGATATATAGATATATATTGAATTACTGTTTTTGTAGCTTTATCCCAGGTTTACATTTTTTTTTTTTTTTTTGGGAGTTAGAAAACTCTATATGTTTTTAAAATGTCTGAGATTAGGGCACCATGTTTCATAATGTTCTTATTTCATTACAGTGTTTTTTTTATTGTTTTACTATATTGTACAGTTTATGTAAATAAGTCTGAAAGCTAAAAAAATTTGAGAGGAGTAATACATATTTTAAGAGGAATTAATATTCCTTATTGTTAAAAATCTTACAAAAAAAAAAAACTAAACAAAAAAAAATACAGTTATTATTTACTTTCTGAAATACATTAAGACAAGTATAAATAGAAAGTAAGTACCTGGTCTCTACAGCAGCTCTGAATTCTTCTTTACTAATGGCTCCTTTATTAAGTCTGTCAATGTTCCTATTCAAATGCACAAAACAAACAAACAAACAAACAAACAAACAAACAAACAAACAAACAATATATTTGTTAACAAAATAACATTTTCTTAACAGGTATTTAGACCATTTGCTAAAAAGCCAAGTAGATAATAAATTTTTCAAACTCAAGAGAGATGCTTGTCTTGGAGTTGAAGGGCTCTAAAATGTTTCTGTGATGAGGTTCTTTGTAACAATGCAAAGTTCAATTTAAGAGACCAAAACAGCATGTCCACCTTTGACCCACAAGGTAGTAAAGCATCTTGTGGTTTAAAACATGCCACAAAGATACCTGTTTTTAATTTAAAGAGAGTCAATGGGATCTTTTCCACAAGAAGAAAAGAGGAAAAAGAGTGTTTAAGACAGAAAGAGAGAGTGATTGTACTCACTGAAAGGTCTTTAGGAGGGAGAGAAACTCTGACTGAAACAGGCGAATTAATTTGGCCTCAATGGCACTAAGAGATGAAGCACAGCTGACGTTTTCGACAGAATGAAACCTGCAAAATCAAAATCAAAATTATTACCAAAATACATTAATCTCGGGTTTTGTCTTCAGAATATTAATGTTTTTCATAAAGTGTACTTTCAACCTAATGTGAAAAAACAAAAAACATTCAAAATACATGTTTAAGAGTTCCTTTGGTCACACTTTATCAGTATGCATGTGTGAGATTTCATCTTTTAAAGACAATTTTCTATAAATGTTTGCTATTCTCCTGCAGTTAGCCATACATCTTCACTTCATTTGCATATTCATTTACATATAAACCAAACTTTATAGTTCATATCTATATTGTGAAAAATTTTACAAAGGGCTGTTTTCATACACAATTTGCCTGATTATATACATTTGAAGAGCTCATTAGCAAAAATGGATTATTCTATTTTTGTTAATTTTCATAAATTGTGTTTTTGCTGCAGATTGAAGAGTCCAAATTTCTGTGCAAATTAAATAATGTGCAATTAATGTGCAAGTAAAATGAATAAAAAAATGTATTCTACAAAAACAGTTAATTATTTTTACATTAGTGTTTTCTGAGAAATAGAGCAATAAAAAAGACAACCAAAACGCACATAGTTAAACTATTTGATATATATATGTATATATATATGTATATATATATATATATATATATATATATATATATATATATATATATATATATATATATATATATATATAAATAATAATAAATTATAATAAATAAACAAGAATTTTTTATCTTTCTTCATTCAACGACCATACTTTTACACAAGCAATGTGCAAATTATATTGTATTCAATTAAATAATCCCTAATTTCCATATTAAAATATTACATTTTAGAATAATTGTAACACACACACACACACACACGCACACACGCACACACGCACACACGCACACACGCACACACAAAATGCTAGCAATACTTAATGCAATCATTCAATGTAGGGTGATAAATAATGTTTAATTTTCTACCCTTTTCACTTGCTTTAAGGTTCAAACACCAACCACAATACTGCTGGTAGCAACTCATTAAAACTTTTAAAAGTTAGTTTAAATTAAAGATGTTGTTGTTTGTGTATAAACATGAAATATTTTGCTGTCTAATACAATAACATCTACAGATCGCAAAATGCGTGGCTTAAACATTGAAACTCTTTTTGGGGCCACTGTATCTTGTCACCATGGTGAAAGGGTTTTAGCCATTGCAACTGTTTGCCTGCCCCATTTTATTCATTCGCCAATCCTTTAAGCTGTGGACCACCCCAATCAAACCAAACACAGAGGGTCCGGGCCTATAGTGTTCAGCTGCTGTTTACTGATCCCTGTGTGCTGGCTGACCCGGGGCAGGGAACAACTATGGGCTGTAAGCTTGTTAGAAATGGAAAGAGTTTGACTACAAGGCTTAAAGATCACTTTCTCTGGATGCTTCTGTGTAATTTGGGCTCTGTGTAAGCAGAGAAAAGACTCAAAGCTTCTGTATCCTGTTGCTGATGACCGAACAGAGTTATCCAAACTGTTCGGGATTGGTGTTTGTGTGTGCTAATGTTCAGTTTTCTAATCTAGATAAAAATGGTTGTAAAAAGTTATTGATAAATATTTAAAGTTTGTGTGATCTCAAAATGCATTATCTTTTTGTGTACACTGTTATAATTTAGGTGAACAATTAATCAATGCAAGTAAATCCATTGAAAAAAAAATGTTTTGGTAATCGTCAATCAAATTCTGATCATTTGCATTTGATGACTTCAGCCACAATATTCTTAACTAAGCTCCTCCCATTATTAATTTGCTATGAGGTAATCATGCCGATAAAAGAAAGCCCTGCCCCATGCCCAGTATTCAGTTTTAGTTGGAAGTACATCTATACATAATGAAATCTAAGTCTCAGCAACTTCTGGTGTAAGTAGACTTTAAATAACTGTTTTATATTTTAATAAAAAATATCATTAATTTTTGCAAAGTTGAATCTTCATCATCATTACTCAAGACTTATCTGGGTTTCCATTCTAACCTGAAGCAAATCATTCTAACCTGAAGCAATTACTGTAGGTGCATTTCCATCAAGTTGTTAGAGAGGCTGGCCATCATGTGGATGTAATATTTGCAATGTCAAGTTTATTTGCCAACTGTGTTTCCATCTCCCGTTATTTGCATTGAGCCTTTAATACAAAACCACCTTAAGCAAGAGTAAATTCAAAGATTTTTATTCCAAACGTGGCATTTAGGGCCCTATCATACACCCGGCGCAGTGTGGCGCAAGGCGCGGCACAATACTTCTTTGGTAGTTTCAGCTTGGCGCAAGAGTCGTTTTGAGGCGTTGCGCTACGCTGTTTAAATATCAAATGCATTAGCGCTCATTTTTGCGTCCATAGGCGTTCTGGTCTAAAAAGGAAGGCGTTCTGAGGCGCACTGCTGGCGCGTCGCTATTTTGAGAAACTAAAATAGATTTTTCATTAGACCAAAACAAACCCAAAACAAACTCCGGCGTAGAGTTGCGCCTCGCTTACACACTGCCTAATACGCACAAGAGAGCAATAGGCAAATATCTTTACATATGAAAAAATTTAAATATTAAGGATATATATATATATATATATATATATATATATATATATATATATATATATATATATATATAGGATATCATAAGAATAGATAAAGGATATAAATATAAAGGATTAAAATATTACAAAACATATTATTTTCTAGCCTACATAAATATGAAAAACCACTGCTTTTATGTCTTCTTCATCTCGGGAGGCTTTTCAGTTCATTCATAACAATTTGCTTTTGTATAATGTTATTATTATTAGCAGTATTATTTATTATATTCATATTTATATTTTTTATTAAAAACAAGCTTAGATTTGCCCACCTGTCAGGTTTTAGACCATATGGGGCTAAGCATGTGTTTTAGGATATAACTCAGGGTTTTGAACACACTTCGTTATTATTGTTCATTTATTAGTTTGCTAGAAATTAGATGTCAGGGTTGGTGATGGGAAATGGGGAAAAAGGAGCGAGGACTCAAGTGCAGGAAAAATGGGAATTTATTAAATAATAAAAATAAAATAAAATGCAAAATAAACTACCCCGAGGGGGAAAACATTAACAAAACAAATACATACACAAACAAACTTCACTGGGCTGGCTGGTAAGGAACAAGACTGGAAACACGACAGGACAAGGGTTCAAACAACAACATGTGATGACGAACTGGCACAGGACAGCAAAAGTGAGGGGTATATAAACTGTAGAAAATTAACACACAAACAGGTGAACACAATTAACTAATAATGGGTTAACAAGGAGGGTGGGACAAGACAATAGACGGGAGAGCGCATGACACAGAGAGACAACACAAGCCATGCGCTCACTTAACAGGACAAGAACATGCAGCCAATGAGAGAACTCATTAACCGCATGTTCATGACAACAAACACAACACTGAAGCACACGACAAAAGCACGTGACCACAATGTAAACACCGAGCCACGTGCTTTGACAAGAGACGCAAGACACGAGCACACGATAGATAAACACCTTACCGTGCGCTCACACATAAGCAATGCGCATGCTTCATCTCAGCGCCAACCAAAACTGAAACCAACTAGATGGAGGCGCTGAGAATAAAGCAGCGCGCTGCTGACAGAACAAACACAAACACTAGTACAAGAGCGCGCGCGTCTGAGGGACGCAGACTCCTCCTCTATCCAAGAGCGAAAGTGAAAGTGATCCATTATCTCTCATTCTCATGCAGTAGATGCCCTGTTTAACAGTTTTCTGAAAAAAAAAAACTGTTAACTGTAACTGTTTGCTAGTGAAATGCTCAGTTTTTCCACTTAGACTTACTTTGCGTCCTGTAAATAGCGAATGCGCTCTTGGTGCGACGCAGCTGACTCTTAAAGGGAATGGGAGATGAGACTCTAATTGGTTTATTCTCAAAACACACCTATAACTCATTAAGAAAATAAACTCAACCCTTTTAGACCATGCGCCTTGGCGCAAAGCAGTTTTTCCCGTCCGTAAATTAGCAAAAATGCGTTCTGACACGCACTGAAGGCGTTTGCGCCCTGCGTTTTGCGCTCTGCGCATGGACCGTCAAAATAGAGCCCTTGGTGTGTAAAAATATTAAAGGCTCTATTTTACTGATCTAGGCGCAAAGTCTAAAGTGCATGGCGCAAAAGCATTAAGGGTGTGTCCAAATCCACTTTTGCGAAGAAAAAATATAGTTTGCCTTGCAGCAAATGGTCAATCAGGATTGTGCTTATTCTCTTAATGAATTATGGGTGTGTTTTGAACATAACGTGCATTAAAGCAATCAGAGACTCATCTTCCATTCCCTTTAAGAGACAGTTGTGTCAGGCCATGGCACATTTTTTATCTACATGGCGGACTTTGTAAATGGAAAAAATAAACTTTTCACTAGCAAGAAAACCATTAAACAGGGCACTTGCAGCGCGAGAATAAAGCAACGAGGGTCCCCCATTCGCCCTCTTTACTTTCTATTTTTCTTCACTTTTACTCTTTTTACTCCTTTACTTTCGTGGAGTAAGGAAACGGTGGAAACTCGCTCCACTGAAAACAACCATAAGTCATAAACCGTAAGCAAATGCAAATATTTTTAAATTCAGTTCTACTTTCCAGCAAACAAATAAATGAACACTGAGTTATATCTTAACACAGATCGTATGCCCCATATGGTCCAAAACTCGACAGGTGGACAAATCTAAGCTTGTTTTTAATAAAAAAAAAAACATATAAATATGCATATAATTAATAATACTGCTAATAATAATAACATTATACAAAAGCAAGTTGTGGCATGGAATAGTGGTTTTTATATTTATGAAGTAAATAATAATTTTTGGAATATTTTATTCCTTTATTTCTATTTCATATGTGAAGATATTTGCATATTGCATATTGCATATTTACATCCTGTGTGTATGCAATGTGTTTAAGGCAAACAACTAACGCGCTCTGCGCTGAATTTTAGACCTGCTTTCAGCTGGTCAATGGCGCAGTCAATATTAGTTCCTCAAAATAGCAATGTGCCAACAATGCACCTCAACACACCTCCTTTCAAGACTATCAAACCCATGAGTCCACAAAGCGGCGCAAATGTATTTTCTATTTAAACAACATGGCGCAAAACAGGAAAATTAGGGTTGCTTTGGTCTGTAAATAGCAACACATCGCATCTAACACGTATTGGCGACTTATTGCGCCAGTTGTGTGGTAGGGCTCTTAGTTTTATTATTATTGTTAAAAATACTACATAATTATTTGGTCACATTCTACAGTAATGTTCAATTTGATACCAATCATTATGAAAAATACTTCTATATCACTGAATAATCTTAGAATAACAAATATAACTCAATTCACAGTGTTTAAGTAAACATTTAAAGGAACTGAGAAACTGAAAAGAACAACTGTACACGTATTATCTTTAATGAAGATTGATAATTATTAACAGATGTACTGATAATTGTTAGTAGATTAACTTTGTGATCCTTAATTAAAACATGATCTCAAACGTTTAGTGAAAAATGCTCAATGAAAAGAACAAAGATTTGAAGTGTGTAAATCTGTGAATGTCTTCACAGTTGTATTTAATTTAAGCATTCCTGCTGAATAAATGTATTAATTTCTTTTAGAAAAATGAAAATAAATCATTTGCAAAATGCAATTATGATTATAGTAGTTTTCCATTTACCACTTTTGTTTTATCGTTAAATCAGTTACACTGGCAAAATAATCCAAAATTTGACTAATACATTTGGCAAGTGTATATATTAATCCAGTTGAATATGGAATATTAATTCATATCCATAAATCTATGTGACTTAATAAAGGTCATTTGTTTTCACAAATTTCTATTTCTTCTACTTTTCAATTAGTATTTGGGCCCTGGCATTGATTTGCACTAGAATTTGTACCTTAATAAAGGCAAGTTTTACTGTTAACTTTTTAATTGTAACTTTAAAGAAGTAAAATGAAACCAATTTCTTCAATCAGTCAGAAAACTGTATTAAGTTAGTTAAGTTAGGTACTCCTTCCAATAAAATATAGTGACTCAAAATATGCTCACCCATTTGGCCGAGCAGCAGTGAAAGATTCATTCATGTGGTTTGCCACAGCATAGTAAACCACCAAATTATCCAGCATATGTTTTATAAAGCGGATGCCCTTCCAGCTACAACCCAGTACTGGGAAACATCCATACACACTCATTCTTATACACTACGGCCAATTTGGTTTATTCAATTTACCGCATGTCTTTGGACTGTGGGGGAAACCGGAGCACCCGAAGGAAACCCACGCAAACACGGGAAGAACATACAAATTCCACACAGAAATGCCAACTGGTCCAGCCAGGACTCGAACCAGCGACCTTCTTGCTGTAAGGTGACAGTGTTAACCATTGAGTCAGCGTGTCGAACCAGTCATAAAGTATTTATGAGAAAAAAAATAACTTAAGGGAAGGACTGCAATATTAAAACAAAAAAAATCCTTGCTGTCTTTTACAGCTCCAGATTTTGCAATAATGACTATTAATAACAATAAATAGAACACACACACAACAATTTTTGTGCTTGGTGAAACCATGTCATAATCTGACTATGCTGTTTATGATGACATACTGCAAGTGTAAACAGGCAACTGTGACTAATGCCTTTGATTGGTCACTACATTCATAAACAACTCAGAAATGTGCGTGATTGCTTCTGATGTGTGCAAAATGAATTCTACTTTTCTGAACTGCAGGTGATTTAATAAAAACTGGAGGGATCAATAGTCCATATGAATAAATAAAATTAGGACATTGCTATGTTGTAAATCTGACCGGTGTTTTGGGTTGTAGATGATCTTGTGAGTAATGCCATCTGAGCTTCTGTCCTGGAAGGTCCGCAGGAAGTTCAAATACTGCACGCAACCCTTTTTAATCTTCAGACCACAGCGAGACAGAAACAGACCCAGCTGCTCTCTTTTCAGATGCAAATCAAACTTTCCCAACACCTGCAGAAAGTCCGCACCTCTCACCTGCAAACATGCCATTTTCATACATTAAAGGGTTGGTTAGCTTAAAAATGAAAATGGTTATTCCAATCCCCTGAGACTTTTGTTCATCTTCAGAATACACATTAAGATATTTAGATGAAATCTGAGTGTTCTCTCATCCAGACAGAATTGGCCTTAGCTCCAAAAACTCTGTGAAAACATCAATGTGACATCAGTAGTAAAACATACTCATATTAAGCTCCAAGTAAAGCCAACAACTGAAAAATTTCAAAAATTTCAAACTTTGTTTGCCTATATCGTATTAAGGTGCATATTTTCTACAAACAGTATGGGGCTTGTGTGTTGTGATGCTGACTGTAATGGCAATATGCCACCCTCCCCATAGTAAATGCATACCCTGAGGAGAGAAGACATAGGGTGCACATTGTCATATATACAGTTCTTGTTTGGAACACAAAAGAGTTCATGGAGTTTTGTATGATTAACTACTGAAGTCACATGGGTTATTTGACAGATTGTTTGGTTCCTTTTCTGGACTTCTAAAGGTCCTGGAATCATTGCTGACAATGGAGGATGAGAGAGCTCTCTGATTTAATCTAAATACCTTAATTGACCCTTCATAAACCTTACACCACTTGTCTATCTCCGATAAACTTTCAATAGAGCTTCCCTATCAAATTGTGAAATCCCCAGAGAAATAGTGAATCATTTCATGGAGAAGTTACATACTGGTTTCAGATAGAAGCAGACACAAAGGTTTGCAATATGTATACAAGGGATATTTTGCCGACAGCTAGCTCTCTGCAACTCTCACATGGTTACCCACTGAAGCTAAGCAGGGCTGCACCCGGTCAGTACCTGGATGAGAGACCACATTGGAAAGCTAGGTTGCTGCCGGAAGTGGTGTTAGTGAGGCCAGAAGGGGGCACGCGGTCTGTGTGAGTCCCAACGTCTAAGTATAGTGAAGGGGACACTATACTGCTTAGTGAGTGCTGTCTTTCAGATGAGATGTTAAATCGAGGCCCTGACTCTTTGTGGTAATTAAAAATCTCAGGATGTATTTCGAAAAGAGTAGGGGTTTAATCCCAGCATCCTGGCCAAATTTGTCTACATTCCATCATAGCCTCCTAACCATCCTCATATCTCATTACTCATTACATCCACTAATTAGCTGGAGTGTGATGTGCGGTCTGGCGCAATATGGCTGCCGTTGCGTCATCCAGGTGGATGCTGCACACTGGTGGTGGATGAGGAGATTCCCCTCAATGTGTAAAGAGTCCAGAAATTGTATATAAATGTAAGGAATTATTATATTTGGGGTGCAAGAGTAGCTCGAAATGGAAAAAAACAAGAAAAAAAGATTAAACCTATAGCATACAAATATAGTGAAATGAAAATCGAATCATATGAACGTAATTAAAATGTTACATATAGTTACTGATTCATTAATATACTCACAAACATACACAAATGGTGCTATCTCAAACAAGACAAAACTATCATACAGCTATGAAATTATAAGAGACATTCCTTCATACATTCATTCATTTTCTTTTGCTAATTTGGGGCTGGGTCATGAAGGTAGCAGTCTTAGGAGGGTACCCTAGACTTATCTCTGCCTAGGCACTACCTCCAGCTCTGACAGGGGGATCCCAAGGGGTTCCCAGGCAAGCTTAGAGTCCTAGTCCATTCAACGTGTCCTGGGTCTTCCTCAGGTCCCTACTTTGGGACAATCCTGGAACATCTCCCTAGGTAGGTGACCGCATTATTGCTGCCACTGCACCGATCTGCCTTTCAATCACAAGCCTCATTCACACTATGAGCGACTTGCAGCAACAAAGCGACAAGCTACCGTTCATTTCAACTGAGAGTGAGCGACTTCCGTCATCCTCTGTCTACACAAGCGACAGTGACCGTTAACGACTAGGTGGGCATGTTGAGTGATGCGACAAAGTTGAGAATCGTTCAACTTTATGCAAATAAAGAGCGACTTTTTTGAGTGACAGCCAACAGGAGCACCAGTGGAGCTCATGTAATCTTCTCTCAGCTTGCTTAGAGGCTGGTAGTACGCTCCGTGCTGTAGACCTACACAGGCATGTGTTTGTAACAGTTCGCCACCCAGAGCGACAGGCAGCTACAAAGTCACTGCTAGTCTGAATGAGACATTAGGGGGGAACTCTAGACTTCCCTCTGCCCAGACACTTCCTCCAGCTCCTCCTGTGGGGAACCCAAGATGTTCCCAGGCAAGCTAGAAGACATAGTCACTTCAGTACGTCCTGGTTTTTCCTTAGGTCCCCTCGTGGGATAACCCTGGAACACCTCCCTAGGTAGGCAACCGCATTACTGTTGCCACTGCACCAATCTGTCTTTCAATCTCACTTTCCATCCTTCTCTCACTCGTGAACAAAAGACCAAGATAATTGAACTCCTCCACCTAAGGACTGTGCTCCAACCTGGAGATGGCAAGAAACCTTTTTTCCAGTGGAGCACCATGGCCTCTGACTTATAATTGCTGATTTTCATCCCTGCCACATCACACTCAGCAGCAAACTGTCCAACTGCATGCTAAAGGTCCATGTCCGATAAAGCTAACAGAACAACATCATCTGCAAATAGCAGAGATGACATCCTGTGATCCCTGAACCAGACACCCTCCGGCCCTAGGCTGCGGCTAGAAATTTTGTCCATGAACACAATCGGTGACAAAGGGCCATCTTGCCAGAATCCAACATGCACAAGAAACAAGTCTGACTTATTGTTGGCAATGCAAACCAAACTCCTGCTCCGTTCATACAGGGACCGGACAGCCCTTAACAGAGTGCATCTGACCCCATACTACCAGAGCAACCCAGTATGCAGTTTAAGTTAGCTCATCTCACCTTTCATCTTCCAAGTCCTCAGGTAGTTCACTGGAAATTTTGCCATGTTACATCTACATAAATTAAAGTTATGCTGGCTGTCCCAGTACAATAACAGAAAAGATTAGTTTACAAGTTGTAAATCTTTGCTTTTTAAGTAATTCGTCCAGCAGTAATGAGAGACAGCACTATTGATTGGCACACAAACATATCCACACAGTTCTCTAAGTTTTGGGAAAGGATGGAATTGTAAACTGCCCAGCCTTCCTGAACCGGCATTGCAAGTTCCATACAAGCACACCGCCATGTCAATCACCAGTTTTGTTCTATTATGATGCCTGTCAGACAAAATAGCAGAAAGTGATTGGGGCACAGAATATCAGCATTACGACTAGCTGGATCGCCTGTCTATCAAACTGCCAAAAAGGTCAATTTGTGTTGCAAAAATAAGCAAAAGTCTCAAGGATTGAAACAACATTAAGGTGAGTATATAATAACAGAGTTTTCATTTTTGGTTGACCTAACACTTCAATATGATTACCATTTTTCTACCTGTTTGTTTGAGAGGTGTGACACTGTTTGCTACCTTTCCGGTGCTTTCAGGATCCAGTTTATCAAACTCTGCCTTCATCCTTTGAGCTCCATCCCTAAATCTGTCCTTCAGCCATGTTTCAATGGCGATGGATGTGTGACGCTCCTCTTCTGCTTTAGACAGTGTTCTTCCAGGAGCTGCTGGAAAAGACATGAAAGAATGTATTCAATGATTATGCAAAGTCTCTACAGACAGGTCTCATTTAATCTTTGGTTATAGGTTCCAATTATACCAAGCAAAGAGTTATTATTTTAGGAGATTTAAAGGGGGAAAGTTATTTTTTCAACCTTTACTTGTTTTGAGCATGTTTGAGTTTCTTCTTTTGAATGCAAAAGAAAATATACTAAAGAATGTTGGAAAAACATTGACTTACCTAACTCCCCTCCAACCCCCTAATTCCCCCCAAAAATTCATCAGCACATCTGTTTGTGGTCCACAGAAGAGAGGAACTGATAAAAGTTTAGAGCCACTTAAGTGTGAGCAAATGATGATCAACTTTTCATTTTTGGGTGAACTGCCCCTTTTAAGGAACAGAACCACAGCACCCTCTATAGGTTGACTGTTACATAACTACACATCATAAAGAGTGTATCCAAAAGCAGTTAAAAACACTTCCATGTACTTGCCTTGAAGACAACCAGCACTATTACACTTTACTGATTTGATCATCTCAATACAATAACATTTCAGATTCTGGTAACTTGTTGAGTGTGATACAAACTGCGCTACTGCAGAATTTATTTTCTAAACTGACAAACGAGATAATAAAACAAGTCATGGCACTTTTACTACAGTGGATCTTGTGCAAATATTTGGTAACACTTTATTTTAATGGTCCATTTGAGTATTAGTAGACTGTCTGCTTAGTATCTGCTGATACTGCTTCTTCAACAGACTATTAACTGACTATAAGAAACTTTGCAAGTACATATCAACTTACACTAACCCTAACCCCAATTTAAAAGTCTACTTATTATCTAGTGAGAATTAAGTTGCAATGTAACTTAAATTCAAGAACCATCAAAATAATATGTAAGCAAATATTTGATTAGCTAACAACTAACATCCAGCACTATAATTAGCTAACATATACCTTTACCTTTTGTGCCCTCCGCTTTAAAGGTATTTGAAGTATGGTAGTTGTTGTCATTTTTTGGTTCATTTCTTTTAATCAATCCCAATTCTTTCAGGAAAATAGTCTGTTTAACTGCTCCAAGTCCATCAGTATCTAGCCTGTTTTAAAAATATGAACCATTTCATTGTTTTTATAAAAACAAATCTTTTTCAAAACACGTTTTATTAATGTGATGGTATACTTCACGATTCAATATGTAAATAAAACAAATAAAGACAAACCTTTTCCATAACTTATCAAAGTCAGTGTCTTTCAGGTGAAGTTTGAGCTTGTTGAGAACATTCCGGAACTCTGGGGCAGAAATCCAGCCTTCGGTGAGATTGTCTGACTTGCACAAAGTCTCAACGCTCTCCAGAAATCTAGTCAATGAAATCAATTCACAATCAGGCAATTAAAAGCTCTTTATTTTGTTTTTTGTTTTTATATTCAAATGTTTACAGTACACTTAAAACAGTAATATTAGGAAATGTTTTAATATTTATTAATACTGTGAAATATTTTAATAAGTGTAGTCATTTATTTCTGTAATAGTAAGGTTATAATTAAAAAAAATCTTTTATCTTGCTCTCAGGAATAAATAAATGTATTATTACCAATGCTGCACAGTTTTTTATTAAAAACTGTTCTATACTTTTCAGGACTCTCTGATGAATAAAAAATACAAATAATATACACTACCTGAGAAAAGTCCTGTCGCACAAGTTTTAGGAGCAACAAATGATATATTGACGTCTAGTTAATCCTTTGGCATTAAAAGTGGCTTATAGGAAAGGCCTCTAGATTACGCATTTTATTTTACCAAAATAAAATATGACCAGGCCTTGACTTTTATTTAATAGGAACAGTAAGGTCTGACTTTACTGAGAAAAAAAGTCTTGTCACTTAAGAAAAATAATGTAGAGTATAGAATATAAAGTCATGCTGCAGTGGAAAAAGAATTAATATTGTGTATGACTCCCATGATCTCTGCAATAACTCAAATAACTTATTATTAAAGTCATCTGGAATGGCAAAGAAAGCTTTCTTGCAGGACTTCCAGAGTTCATCAAGATTCTTTGGATTCATCTCCAATGCCTCCTCCTTCATCTTACCCCAGACATGCTCAATAATGTTCATATCTTCTGACTGGGCTGGCTAATCCTGGAGCACATTGACCTTTTTGCTTTCAGGAACTGTGATGTGGATGCTGAAGTATGAGAAGAAGCGCTATCCTGCTGAAGAATTTGCCCTCTCCTGTGGTTTGTAATGTAATGGGCAGCACAAATGTCTTGATGCCTCAGACTGTTGATGTTGCCATCCATGCTGCAGATCTCTCACACTCCCCCATACTGAATAAAACCCCAAACCATGATTTTCCTTCACCAAACATGGGTCAATGCAGGTTCCAATAGGTCTTCTGCTGTGTTTATGATGATTGGGATGCAGTTGAACAGAAGATTCATCAGAAAAATTACCTTTTGCCACTTTTCCAAATGATCAACCAGAAGTCAAGTTAAATTTGTCGCTTTTGCAACTGGGATTTGTGACAAGACTTTTTAAAAAGAGTAAATCATAAATGTTCTATGTGCCCTGTTTCAATAAGTAATTAAATAAATAAATAACTAAATAAAATAAATCCAAATAACTAAATAAAAGGCATTTACAATTTTGACAATGGTACGATTAAACGTTTAAAATACTTACATAATGAAAATCGTATTACACATAATATAATACCTCAGTCAGATAGTCTACCTCTTTGTCTTTCCTACACACACACACACGCATTGTCAGTAATACATGATTATCTTTTTTACTCTGTCCATTCATCTCTTTTGAACCCTTTTGGACCCATAAATCTGCTTTTTGCACACTTTTTTAATGTGTGCCACTTTTCTCTCATTTTCCTGTTGCTCTTTCATCTTTATCCCCCACTTGCTGTCTTTTTATTCAGTCTTTTTTTCCCTGTCTCTCATCCTATCTTCCCCATCTCTCACTTGGACACTCATAGTCAATGTGTCTGTAAGAAAGAGAGGGAAAATGTGTGAGATTAGTCACAGAGATTTCATTTTTTTTGCTCACGGCTGGAGTGTGTCTTGGTCTGACCAGGTCTTACGCAATCGCCACGACACACACACACCAACCGAACTTTCACACTCCCTCTACAACCTCATTGTATTACTCTGGTGCTTTAAACAGTTTGGGTACAATAGTAGCAGTGGTACAGAGATGGAGAAACAGAGGGGTCGCTAAGCTTCTTTGCTGATCATCCTTTTGCTTTCTGTCTTATTTGAGCACAAGATGCACTCTGAGCTGCTCTCTCACTCCCTGCTGGTGAACTTTGAGTGGTTCACATTCTCTTCCTGAATCGTCATCTCTTTCTAGAGTACTGTTTGTGAGTTAACTTGTAACTTTATACACACAGAAAGCATGCACTGTTAAAATTTTTTTTTACATTATGCAGTATTAAACTGTAATATGAACTTTATTTTATTACAGAATAGTTGTGCTGTATGTTACTGTACTTTATGGTTGCATGATGAAAATTTTACAGTAAATATATACATAAAATTCAGTAAATACATATCTAGCAAGATAAATGAATGTAAATACAGTTTTTTTTTTGGCTGAAACTGATTTACAGTAAGTTACTAGCACATTGCTGCCAGTAAGTTACTGTAGATTCTAGAGAAGGTTTTTAACAGTGTATTCAATGCAAATGATTTTCATGTTTCAAATAATGTTTCATCATCATTCTATTTATTTATTTATTTATTTTAGAATAAGCGATCATACTAAACATTGTTGTCATATAAATGATTAAAATCATGACATGGCTAAGACAGAATGGTAAATGATGTAAAGTACATATGTTTATAAAAATTATTATAAAACATATTATTTATAAAACATATATTTATAAAATAATGAGTATTTGGGGTTTTGCTGTAATCTTTAGATTCTTTCATCATCAAATCAAATGAGTCTCAAAATATGCCTTTATACATTATTTTTTTCAAATACCAGCAGCAGCCTCTTGTTAGAGATAATGCAAATACATGCGTTCAATAAACAAGAAGGTAATTTACATATTATAGACAATGTATTAAGTAGTTCCAATCAAAAATAATCTAGAATTGAGTGACCAAAGGACAGTGAACTGCAGTGTTTGTTCATGACCGAGTCTCTAAAATGACGTTTGGACAAATTAATTAAATTAAAAGAGCAGTCGATTGTGGCATCTATGTAACAACATTATTGCTACTTCACGTTTATTATATGACCTGTTTTTGATTTCTACTTCCCGAGGAATAACATCATATTCAATATACACTATAAAAGAAATTAATTAGCTATTTAAATAAGCTGTAAATTAGCTGTTTTCTGTATTTTGTGATTCATGTTTTTATTTATCCCCATTTTTTTGCTTTTGAATTTTATTATAAGACATTGATCTTTATTCTAACAACTTCTAACGTTGAAAAGTTCAAAAAAGTTACTTTTATTAACACTTTTAATAGTTTAAAGTGATTTATTGACTGGGTTTTTTGCTGCATATTACCTCTCTATATTATATCTGATACATTGTATTATTTCAAACTACTAAAATGACTATAAAAGTCACTTTGTTGAACTGTAGAGTGGAATTTTCAATATCAAAAGTTGACAGAGAACAAAGGTCCTATAATGCAATTCACAACTGTAAATAAATATAAAATTAACAGAAACTAATAAACATTTGTTTTTATAGTTTCCTCTCTAGTGAACTTGAGCATTCCCTCCAGCATGAATATTGTGGTGTGTCTGGACTGTGGAGATCTCACCTGCTGCGTGCTGGTCCTCTCAGCAGGGCCAGTGTCTGAGGAATTGTGAGCGGACCTGCAGGGTTACTTTTATTGGAGTCTTGGTCTTTCAGGGCACCATAAAACTCTTCAAAACTGATAAGCACTCTGTCATAGAGGTGTAGACTTCACAGACAAAGATAGACAGGGGTTTTATTTAGATGGATCTGTGAATACTAATAATTTGACAGATGGATTGTATAAAAACATCATGTTTAGGATAACAAAGCTACCGGAACAGAAGATTTTTGATCTGCTTAGCTGTGACGGGCCGCCTCAGGAAATTTGTAAGGATCTCTAGTAAAACAGATCTAGGAAAAGAACAGACCAGAAGAAAATGAAGAATGTTTGCTATAGTTAAGGTACAAAACTGTGTTTTTACCTGTTCGCCAGAGGCTTGCCATCAGGGTGGTTGTTCTTGAACAGGATTTTGAGAGCCAAAGCTCCTGTAGTTTGAATGTGCTCCTTCAGCTCAACTTCCAGCTTTACAATAAAATAAAAATAAAATTGGTATAATGGTAAAATAAGTTTACAAAACAAAACAGAAAAAAAAACATTAAGACTTGCCATGATGAGAGTAAATAATATTTTACTATTTTTCAAGACACTTCTATACAGCTTAAAGTGACATTTAAAGGCTTAACTAAGGTAGTTTAACTAGGCAGGTTAGGGTTATTATGCAAGTTATTGTATAACAATGGTTTGTTCTGTAGACTATTGAGGAAAAAAAATAGCCTAAAGGGGCTAATAATTTTGTCCTAAAAATGGTGTTTAAAAAATTAAAAACTGCTTTTATTCTAGTCTAGTCAAAAAAAAAAAAAAAGACTTTCTCCAGAAGAAAAAAATTATTTTCAGACATACTGTGAAAACTTCTTTTCTCTGTTAAACATCATTAGGGAAAAAAAAAAAGTAAGAGTAAAAATATTCAAAGGGTGGCTAATTATTCTGACTTCAACTATAAATTATGTTAAAAGTAAATGCTTCAAAACAAAATACACAAAAATACAATATTTGTGTTCCTATTAAAGGAATAGTTTACACAAAAATGAACCTGAGTCAGATGTAAATGATTTTCTTCTTTAAGATGTACACGTGCCTACGGAAATTAAGCGGTTTTAATGAGATAATTATTTAAGACTTTATAACCTTTTGTCACTAGTTTTCAGCAACTGTCATGAGAGTAAGGTTATGACTAGTGATAGATATAATGGATGCTTTATTTTAAATCTAAATATGAATCGAATATTGAGAAAAATGCACTGAAATGTTTTAAGATCAGTCAGTGCAAGTTTGGTAGATGACTTGAATGATGAATGGATGTGCTTTTTGGAGCTCGAGCACCATTCATGCTATTGCAAAGCACAGTACGAATATCAGAACTGTATTAATCCGAATAGCTAGAATGTGTGGAAACTATTGGAAAAATTATATTTTTTAGTGAATTGAAAGATCAAATGTCCTGTAATCATTGCTGCTTTTATATTACATCTTCAATTTTAGTTATTTTTCTGTACGTCATACATTCATTAATTCATTCATTTGCTTTTTGGCTTAGTCCCTTTATTAATCTGGGGTTGCCACAGCGGAATGAACCTCCAACTTATCCAGCATATGTTTTACGCAGCGGATGCCTTTACAGCAGCCAAAAAATGTACATCATACACATTACAGCAAATTAAATATCATAAACAAAGAACTGATTCAGGGGTTCATGATTCCAATGAACCCTACTTATTAGTCTTCACACTTCTGTTTGATTCTTATTAGTCAATTAAAATCCAAACAAATGACTGAACAGATTAACAAACAATTTCCTTTTAGAGAATCAGAAATTGTTTCCTATTTTCCACTTCCATATCAAATGACTTTAATGAGCCGGTTGTTTAATGAATCAAATGACAAACAAATGACTCTTTGTTGCAGACTTTCTGCTTTCTCTGCAATCAAACAGATGAAAAGGGAAAGCTCACCCAAAAATTAATATTTAGTCAATGTTTATTAACCCTTGTGTGATTTCAAACCTCTGATTCTGTTGAACACAAATGAAGATATTTCGAAGAAAGCTGAAAACCGGCATTGACTTCCATAGTATAGGAAAAACAAATACTATGGAAATCAAAGGTTACAGGTTTTTAGCATTCTTCAAAATATCTTCAACAGACAGTCAAATAGGTTTTAAACAAATAACGGGTGAGTAAATGATGAAAAAAATGTTTAGTTTAGGGTGAACAATCTCTTTAATGCCAATACACTCTTGTAATATCTGAGATTTTATCTGCATGCAGAATTTAAGCAGCGTGCAGATTCATTTCCAAACTGCTCTAACGGAAAGATTTTAAGCGCTGAATGTATTAAATATGATGAGTGACAGCATTTCGAGCTTCTTTTGTGAGCGGGCTGGAATGGAGGGGTTGTGTGTTTATCCATATACCCATTCTGACTCTTGTGAGGGGTGTGTGAGCGCGAGTGTGTGAGCGCGAGTGTGTGTCTGTACCCCCACTGTGTGACTAAGGCAGCTCTCGTGACCAGGCGGAGTCGAGGGGCCTGTGCGCCGGGTTCAGTCGGACCCCAGGGATAAGACTGGCAGGGTTAATCACACACAGCACCCCCTCCAGTAGACAGACACCTGCAGATTTGCTGGACTTTGGCTCTCTCACACACACCCATTTGCACATGCGCTCCCTCCTTCTCTTCCTCTTTATCTCTCGTTGCTAATATCTCTTCTTGGTTTTACATTGGTGTTAAGCGCTGAGCTGCAGCTGAGATTTTATCAGTTCTTGTGTTTTATTGTACATAGCTGGCTCTCTCAATGGGATAATGCCAGGCTTTGATGTCAAAAGGAGGAACGCAGGCCAGCAGTCCTGTCATTGAGAGGAAAGCACTCGGGGATACTTGAGAATATGCCTGTGTAAATGCACAGCACTCAGAATGATGCCCTGTGGAATCAGACTTTGCATGCAGACTTGTGCACAGTGGCTCTAAAACATCAAATGTGTTTTAATAACTGTGTGTATTAATATTATGATTAACTGTGTTATTAAAAATAATTTAAAATTTAAAATAATATAATCAATAAAATAATTGAATTTATATCATTTTTTTGGTTTGAAGTGGATGTATGAAGTCAAATTCAACTTCAAAAGTTCAAACAAGTTTCCAGAATGTATAGTTAATATGCAAGACTTTTCGTAACAGTGTTTTAGACATAGTTTGAAATGGAAATTGCACTCATTAGTTTCTGCACTGAAAAAAAGCTTTTATTCATCCAATCAAAAAGTTTTAGGGAAATGATTCTGTTGTTAAAAAGGAATTACAAAGGAATTTTTAATAAAATATTTTTGTCTCTTTTTCTTGTCAATAAACAATTGGATTTGTACTGTTTAGAGGTGGTATTAACTGAACATCTTCTCGAGCAGGCCCGAATTGGCTAATCGGGAGGACCGGGAGAATTCCCGGTGGGCCGGTCCGTTTTTTGACCGCGAGGGCCGGTGTCCCTAGCTGCAGAATCTGTTGCTCTCAGCAGTCACACTTTTTAAATTTATTTATTTACTTGACCACAGCCTTTTTATTCATTATTTTACCGCAACTCTTCTCAGTTGTGTCTCTTTTCTGAACACAGCTATTGTGGTCCAGCGGTTAGCACGTTAGATTAAGACACCACGGACCCGGGTTTGATCCTCGTTAGAGTAACTTATTGTTTTCATTTTTATTGTTAAGACATATAATACTGTTAGGGTTGTTGAACATTTAAAGTTCTAAAGCAGCTGTTTTCTCAAAAAAAGACGTGATATTGTAATTAGAAACTGATTTGGAAATGACCTTATTTTAATATAGTCAGTCGTGAACTGAGGTGGGCCGGTCTGAGGCTTGAAACTCCAGGGCTGAAAAGGTGTCCCACTCCGGCCCTGTTCTCGAGTGTGATATGTTTTGCATACTAATGAAGCCTTTTTGCAAAAGTAGACAAATGCTTGTCTAAAATTAACTTGAGCTTTGCCTCGAAACTTCATGTGAGGACAGAATTTGCAAGTCTTGTGCTTTTTAATGTGCAGAGAATTTGTAGAAAAAGAGGACGTATGTATGGGTGCGGCCAACGGAGGACTGGAGAATGAGTCAGGTGACGAATTTTACTAAACTACACCTGTTAATATCAGCTGCCTATACAAGTTGAAGTCAGGAAATGAAAACTGTTGCACACCTCCTGAATGTAACTTTTGCATTGCATTGAGGATACCAGAATTCTGTAAATCTAATTATTTATTCGTATCCAATAAATTGCTAATATGTTAAACCTAGAAGAAAAACCTCTCCTGACCTTATTGAACACGGTTGGAATTAAATAAATATTCCAACAGTTCACATCTAAATTTGATCACTTGACCCAATGAAAAATAAATAATTTGCCTTAAACAATATTTTCTATCTCCATGAGAACAATTTTATCTAACCTGGTACAAAGCATATTTGTCTTGTTAAAGAAAGTCAATAAATTCAAATTCTCTTTTTGTTTTAAACAAGAAGATATAGCTTTAAGCAAAACAGCAACTCCCATAAAATGTTCATTCATCCATATAAAAAATTGTGGTAATAGTTTTGCGTCTAAATTTGTTCACTTTATTTTTTTATTTTTTGTCTATTAAAGTACAAAGCAAATTGTAATAATTGCTGTACGTGGGCAACTGAAGCTAGGAGAACACTTGTGTCCTACACCGCACAACCCTGAGTGTCTCTGTTGTCAGCAATCTAGCAGAATAAGCAGGTAGGAGACAGCACTATCTGTTAACCTTTTTATTTTGAGCTCAGAACATGAACAACCCTTAACAGGACCATACCACCGAGGTGCTTCCTTTACACACTACCCTTGTTGATGATGATGGCCAATATTTTGGAAATAAATTAAATATTGGGCTTAAATCACAAAAAAAAAACTAATTATTTGTTATAATACAGATTTGTTTTCAGCGTATTATTATAATTTAAAATGACAAATGTCATTTGCAAATGTCAGGCATTACATCAGTTGTCAATGTCACATAATGCTTTAGTAATCTGATTTAGTGCTCAGTTATTATTGGAGTATTTAAATCCATTTTAAATAAATGTTTAATTTTAAATCCATAACACTTTTAAAATATAGTTATCAAGATATCATGAGTTAAATGTGTGCACTACCTGATCAGTCTGATCTGTCTTCCATGGCCCAATGCTGGAGTATGTTGAAAGGGAAGCTCTGCTTATAGAGCGATTCTCTGAAGCTGCCCTGTGACCTGTATCAAACAAATTTAGTTTACCATTAAATACTGCATTTAAAGGTATAGATTACCCCAAAAATAAAAACATCCTCACCATTACAAGCTGCTTTGGCACAATCTACATTGTAGCACTATATAAATAAAGATGAATTGAATTGAATTATTCACAATCAAGTGGTTTTAAAATTGGGGTGAAAGCTGGCATGCAAATATTTATATTATTCAATATTCTTTTTTATTAATTATTTTTGTGTTTAAGCCTTTGTGTTTAACAGAAGAAAGAAACCCAAACAGGTTTGGAAGTGGAGGATGAGTAGACAATTACTTCATTTTCATATTTGGGTGGACGATCACATATTTTTAAGACTTGATAGTTTTCATGAAATCATTACAATGCAAATATAATATAAATACCCGTACACGTTTCAGATACTGCTTTTATTAATGTAGTATTTATAGAATGAGTTTTTTTACCACTATCACAGAGTGATTGGCTGACTACTAGACAATTCATCGCATGAGAAGACAGCGCCCTCGAGTGGACAAACAAGTGAATAATGATGAATAATAACGAACTTATTCTAATTACAAATATAGCTTAACAGCAAGAATCTGTGAACCTAGGGGATGATTCTCATGACCTTTGGTTCTGCTCGGAGCTGGTTCCTTTACAGCAGGGGTGCTTAACCCTGTTCCTGGGGATCTGTATAGTTTAGCTCCAACCCTGATCAAACACACCTGAATCAATTAATTAGAACCTGAACAGCACATGATAATTACAGGCAAGTGTTTGATATGGGTTGCACCGTGAAACCTGCAGAGGTCTCCAGAACAGGGTTGGTCACCCCTGCTTTAAAGGCTCTCGAAAACATATATTTTTTATTAAACATTCGCACATTAAATGAGTTGTTAAATTAGAAATACAAAAAATATAAAATTGTATTTAATAGTAAAATAAAAACTAAAATTAATTATGACAATTAAAAGTAATTAGAATGATGTAAATGTATCTGTTAAAAATAATGGTTCTATACAAAATATTTAAGATTCCCAGCCATTCTTATTATGTCCGATGGTTAAACATGAAGACATACAAGCGGGCCGCGCGACAGCTCATAATGCAATGTTAGTGGAGCATGTGTGTGGCGCAAAATATTTCACACTCAGCAATTTATCAGTCCTCTTGACGCTGTTTCAGGTGCTAAAATAATGATTTACAGGTAGACCTCATAAATTCACAAAGCATATCCCTTACATTATCACCAGCTGTAGGCGGTGCAGAAGTGCCCTTCATTGTTACTGACGACTCGAGCAACATAAATGTAAGGCTAGAGACTCACGGAACGCAGGTAGTTTGGCTTTATCATGGATGTCCTCTTCGCCCTCGGGAATCAGCTCTGGAACATCTAATCCTCTTTTTCCCTTCTCCACCACAGAACTTATATCACTTCTGCTGCTCTGACTGCGAAATGCAGAGTCCAGGCTCTCCGTGTCTGGAGACCGAGCTCTGGCTCCTTTCTGAGGGATCCAGCATCTCTGATCTCTGCAGTCTGTGGAATAACCCCGGAGAGAGATGAGATCTGGATCTCCAAGTCTTGATGAAGGGTGTTGGATGGCCGGGAGCCGTATAGAAAAAACAGTGGACATCCTGAATGAAACGTTTTAAGTTTTAAGAACTCTGTCAAGCTCTTTTCCAAAGTGCGTCACGCACTAAGAAAACAGGTTACATTAAATTACGCATCGAACTTTATAAAAGACGAAATGTCAGTCTGTCTTTTCAATACTGAAAAACTTTAATGAGAGGGAATAACTGACTGCTGGGGTAGGTACAAAGGAGAAGCCAAGTTGCTCATAGCAACAACAAGCGCTTGCGCCTGGAGTGGCAGGTTGCACGCGCAAATCATAAAAGGCGCGTGATGTTCGTGCACGAGACCAAGAGCGCGCGTTTGGTAAGTGTATCAGAAAGTGTATTGTGATAACTTTGATGACGAAGAGTGAATCTTAATCTCAAATGTTTTAAAAAGGTTTTACTTTTTAAATAAAGAATAATAATTTCTCAATGCATGAGGCTAGTCATATAGGCCTATGTCCCTAAAATAAAACACACTCGTTTGCGACATAAAGCGACTAAATCCAAACTTTAGTACTCACAGCAAATAGGAGATTTTGCTTTGTTCATTATCCATAACATTTATGGAAATTTTCATTCATTTAAAGACTTTATAGTTCTTTAGATTATTAAAATGTTTTTTCCCCACAATTATTTCAAGAATAGGTTAATTTAGGGAAACATAATGGCCCTTCTTTGGCAACAAACGTCCAATTGGAACATTTACGTTTGACATAATATTTGGCATGTAGATTAAATTAATTTCTGAGTGATATTTCAGATTCAAGGAAGGGAGAAATTCAGTAAAACAGCATTTGCTTTAGGAAATTTGATCTTAAGTGTGATTAGTGTTGGGAAATTCATTGTGTTGTAAATAAGTTTTTCCTGCTTTGTTTTTAGAAACATTCAAAACTTCAGGGCTGCAGTGTAGCCAGGCAACAAACCTAACTTTGACGAGGGAGAGAAATGAAATGGAGAGGTGGTTTCAGTTATCTAAAGCTAGTCTGAATGCGCAGGCGTCTGCGGTAGGAACGCACACTGCAACACATTACAAAATTAAACAGGTTCGAAAATACTTAAGATAACCGTGACCACGCAACCAATTACCAGATAAACGATTTTGTAGCTATCAGGCAGAATTATTTATTAAAGCAATTAAAAATATTAATACTGTCTTAATAAATTTGTATTCATAAAAATGCTATTACCACCAGCAGTTTTTGCACATATAATTTTCAAAGACCTTCTGCATAGCACCTGAACGAATTATTTGGCTATATCTTACATTTTAGGGCTACTAACTTTTAAATATCTTATCTTACTTCATATAAACATAAACCAATAAAAAACCGTACAATTAAAATTTACTTTCAATGAAATAAACCAACAAACAAAAAATATCATTAACACAATCAATTAAAACCGAATAAAAAAATGGAGAAAATAGTATTAAAGATGTTGGCTGAATTACTTTTTTGACCTATATTATTTACGAACACTCATCATTTTTACACTGAATGAATGAATAAAATTAATATACAAATTATTCATAACTATGCATCATAAATCTGGGCTTTATCAAATCGAATTTGGGTAAAAAAAATGCAACAATTCGGTACTGGTGTGGTGCAATAATCTAATTTGTCATTTTACTTTTTAATTCATTTCATATTCCTGTAAAAATTCTGTTACAATAACACGGATTATTGTATATATGAACCCGTTTGTCCAGTACTAAATAATTCGACAGCTTTTTAGTAAACAAATAAAATGTATATAAAATGTGTCCTTTAAACGTCCCCAGATCCTTGACCCAGGACATTAATGAACTTGCGCAAGACACTTGGCCCATGACCCGGGATATTTATTCAGCTTCGAGTTTGGGTTCGGTCCCTCGTGGATCAATCACCCGCTCCTCTCGCGATAATGACCCTGGATATATTAGGAGCAAACACGAGCACTCGTCCATTTGAAGGGTCGTCGCAGGGATTCATATAGGGTCCTAAGGTGGTGAGATTGTCTTCCAGGAGATAGGACATCATGTCTGACGCAGCGATCAGCTTCTTGAAGGATTTCTTGGCCGGTGGTGTGGCCGCTGCCATTTCCAAGACAGCAGTTGCCCCCATTGAGAGAGTCAAGCTGTTACTGCAGGTAGGTTTTAAAATCTGCATACATAAGATTAGAATCGAATAATCGCTGCATGTGAATCACGGTTGCATATATTAGTGAGGTAGTGCCTTGAATTAAAGTGCACTGAAAATTAGTTTACTAGTTCTCAGTTTGAAACAATTCAGTAAATTTTGAACTAATTGATCAAGAGGAGTAGGCGAATAAAGGTAAAGGTTTAACTAAAAAGGCATACAAATTATGACGCTGTCCATGGTGCTACTTTATAAAACCTTACTAAGAAATGGCAAAAAGGTAATTCAGAGTACAGAACAATGTTAATTAAATTAATGTTTGATTAATGTTACTTGGTAATTTAAACTCCGCTTTTTAATTTTTATTGTGGTTTTTATGATTTTTGCGGAAAGTTTAAACACATAAATTTGACCTTGCCTACTTCCATCACTCTTTCCATCAGTGCCAGAGTTTAGAAAGGCCAATCATGTGTGTAAAGACCGTGCCTGTGAGGAGCAGTGATATTTGGTGCAAGTTTAAAGTTAAAAATAGTCTTGAGACTGCAACCCAATCCTTAAACCCTGTGCGCAAGTGAGGCATGATGCCAAGTGCAACTTGTGCACGAGGTCAGGCTGATCCCTAAGTGTAAAGAAACCAAAATGTGAACTCTTCCATTTGTACTTTTAATCAAACCCAGCCTTTGGGGTTTCTCATACATGACAAAATATGACCACGATGACCCAAAGTGCTCCATCTTCCACTAACAAATCCGAACTGTGCTGCTTTACAGGTCCAACATGCCAGCAAACAGATCACGGCCGATATGCAGTACAAAGGCATCATTGACTGCGTAGTAAGAATTCCCAAAGAGCAGGGATTCCTGTCGTTCTGGAGAGGCAATCTTGCCAACGTCATCAGATACTTCCCAACACAAGCCCTCAACTTTGCCTTCAAAGACAAGTACAAGAAGATCTTCCTCGGAGGAGTGGACAAGAATACCCAGTTCTGGCGTTACTTTGCCGGTAATCTGGCCTCTGGCGGTGCTGCAGGTGCGACCTCTCTGTGCTTCGTCTACCCTCTTGACTTCGCCAGAACAAGACTTGCTGCTGATATCGGCAAAGGTGCAGCCGAGAGAGAGTTCACCGGTCTCGGAAACTGTGTTGCCAAGATCTTCAAGTCTGATGGTCTTAGGGGTCTCTACCTTGGCTTCAATGTGTCAGTCCAGGGCATTATCATCTACAGAGCTGCTTACTTCGGTATCTATGATACAGCTAAAGGTAAGCAACTACTCACAAAAGTCTCTTGTGGATAAAAACAATTTTCTCGTCAATGACAATTGGTGAACTCTATCATTTAGGTATGTTGCCGGATCCCAAGCACACACACATTGTTGTCAGTTGGATGATCGCCCAGACTGTCACAGCCGTTGCTGGTATCATTTCATATCCCTTCGACACTGTCAGACGTCGTATGATGATGCAGTCCGGACGCAAAGGAGGTAGGCCAAATTTTTGTTCAAATTTTACAACTAACTGCTTTGATGATCAGTCTAACGCCTGTATTTTTCTTTCAAAAAGCTGACATTATGTACAAGGGCACAATCGACTGTTGGAAAAAGATCGCCAAAGATGAGGGTGGTAAAGCTTTCTTCAAGGGCGCCTTGTCCAATGTGATCAGAGGTGCGGGAGGCGCTTTTGTGCTGGTCCTGTATGATGAGATCAAGAAGTACACATAAACATTCTCCATCCATCATGTCCATCCCCACCAAAGGAAACCCTGAGCGCTGTGTATGTCTTAATTGTGTAGAATGTTTAACAACCAAGGGAAGTGTACTTAGCCAAGCTGGCCCAGGGGTGGATGGTGATCATGTGATCGTGGGTGGTCACTGCATCCTCCACCCCAACACTTGTAAATATATTGAAGTTTACCTGCTACTGCCCTTCAATTTAAGTCGACTTTCGGTCTGGTTAGATTGAAAGTCATGGTTTATTTTTTTCTCATTTATTTATTTGAATTTCAATTGATTTCCTCATAAATCTTGAGGGTCTACATGTTCTACAGTGGCTCTTCTCTTCTAGTTAGCTGAACACATTTTGTCCCAGACTGAAGCAAGTGACCGTACACTGGAAAGCTGAATGTTTTTGTGGTGTATTCCACTTCATGTGTTCTTTTAATAACAATAAAGCTGAAAATACACATTTTGTGAACTTGCTTCTTTTTGTGATACTATGATACTTTTAACTGCCAGATTATATATTTATTAATAATCAGAAATCAGAAGGTTGTCTCAGAACAGTAATGGTAGTAGACTTATATTTACTTTAGAATTTAATTCACTAAAACATTTTAGTTAATAGAATCTATAACAAATAACTGTAAAACGCATAGTTCCTATACTACATGAACATTTACAGTAAAGCTTAAGAGTACAAGAATCTATGGAACAGAAAAGATTTTTTGAGTGCCAAATGAACAAATCCAAATATTCAGTATGATAAAGTAACAATTAACAAAGACTATAGTTGCATTAAAAATCCAATTGACTTTTTAGAAGAATATTAAATTAGAAACAGTTCATTCAAATTGTAAAGTCATCGTCTTTTCTGCATTTCTAATCAAATAAATGCAGCCTCTGTGTGTACATAAATATTATAATTATAATATAAAAGTATTTTATGAAAAGTAAAAAGTAAATAAAGGTACTTTACGTTGAATACATATTATAAAATAATCTGCAATATATATATATATATATATATATATATATATATATATATATATATATATATATATACACATACATACATACATACATACATAGATACATACATACATACATACATACATGCATACATGCATACATACATGCATGCATACATACATACATACATACATACATACATACATACATACATATACATACAGTTAAAGTCAGAACCTTTTTAAATATTTACCAAATGATGTTTAAACAAGCAAGGAAATGTTCACAGTATGTCTGATAATATTTTTTCTTCTGTAGAAATTCTTATTGTTTTATTTCGGCTAGAATAAAAGCTTTTTAATTTTTTTTTTTTTAAAAAACACTTTAAAGACAAAATTATTAACCCATTTAAGCTATATTTTTTCGATAGTCTACAGAACGTTTAATAATTAAATAATTTGTCAAATTATCCTAACTTGCCTAATTAACCTAATTAAGCCTTTAAATGTCACTTTAA